CCGCCCGCCCCCCTCCAAAAAGGGGGCGCCGCCCCCCGCTCATTGGCCAGACGGCTTTGACGTCAGGAAGGAGGGGCGGGGCCGAGACTGGAACGAAAAGGTCCGAAGAGGGCGAGGAGGGGAAAGGGGGGGACCGGCCTGCGCGACGGGCCTGAAAGGGTTAGGCATGATGGTTGCCTTCCGTGGACCTCCTCGCCTGCCTGCCCTTGACAAGCCGGACTCTTTTGGGGTTACACGCGCAGCAGCCCTGGTCTCGGAAGCAAGCCCCACTGAGTCGCGTGTGCGGTTTGCTCTCCCTCTGTTAAGTGACACGGGCAGGGGCAGAGGTGGGAGGGGGGCTGGTTGACCCTCTAGGTGACTTCCCCCCCTTGACCGAGCCAAAGTTCATGAGGAGGAAGAGAGACAAACGCTTTAGCCCTGGGAGAAGAAAAGGTGGCACTCAATTCAGATTTATTCTGAATTCACAGTTTCTGACAGTATAGAAGCTGTACTTTCCCTATCCAGGTGGATTTAAATGCTGGGGAGAAGAGGACAGCTACTGTAGTCATGCACTGCTGTTAAACAGTGTTAAAGATTTCCTCCAGATCAAACCCATATTTGTGCTGTCCTCTGAAGATGCTGGCCACAGAGACTGGCAAAACGTTAGGAAGAACAATCTTCAGAACACGGCCAAAGAGCCCGAAAAACCCACAAATCAACAACAGCCATTAGATCCCAGCCATGAAAGCCTTCGTGAATACATCAAACCCATATTAATTAATCCTGAGAACTGGGCCAGGCAGGGAGAACTGAGATACTGTAATTCTACAACCTGGCCCTGGATAAAAGTGCTGGAGTTTTTCCCTTTTATGCTCCATCTGCTTGTTTTCTCTGAGTAACATCTTTGAAACATGCAGTCCCTTCTACCAGTGTAAAGGTGCAGATGCAGCCTGGGCAAGGGGCTTGGGTTTGAACATCTCCTTTGCAGTTCAAGATCAACTTTGTGTCCGTCCCAAAACTGTGTTTATGTGCCATGTATAGATGGAAC